ATCTAGTAGTAGGTTATGGTCTGCCTATCTTATCAAATGCCTTACTGAAGTCCAAGTAAATTATATCGACAGCATTCCGCTGGTCCACTATTTTGTCACTGTGTTGAAGAATGCAATAAGATCAGTCTGGCATGATCTGTTTTTGACAAACCCATGTTGGCTTTTGGCTATTACTTTGTTTACTTCTAGGTGTTCACTAATTCGTTGCTTGATTATCTTTTCCAGAATCTTCCCTGGTATTGAGAATCTTCCATGATATCTATTCAGTGAAGTGTTTGCAAATAATGCTTGTTGTACCTACTACTCATTACTAAGACATATTTTAAAACAACCTTATCTTTGTTTTGATTTTTTAAAAAGCTATTGTCCTTCCTTTCTTACAGGTGTTGAACCTCACCAGGTATTATATTCAGAGACACCAGAATTTTGTGGTTCCACTCATTGAGAAATACAGCAAGGAATGGCTATCTAGGGGGCATCCAATTTTTCGACCCACCTGGTGGCTCAGCCCCACTGAACCAGCTGCCTTTATCGTCGATGACCAGTTTCTCATAGGCGAGGAGGTAAGACATGGATTCTTTCCTAACATATTTTAAGTCAGTTCCGAAGGGCTGACTAACAATTTTTTACATGCATATTAGAATACCTGAAAATGTCAGCTCCCTAAGGCTCTTGGAAATCTCTCTCCAGTTAAGAAAAAAAAAACCCTGAGTGCATCACAGTATCACTTCTGCAAATACTTTAAAAATACTGTACAGCACATCAGCAAAAATGTATTTATTAAGACTGACACTGTCAAAACATAATCCACCCTTCCCCAACCTGATGGTGACTCCCATCAAAATGCTGATGATAACCATGAAAAGGTAAGACTGACACATTAGGAAGGTACTCAGTTGAAGAAAAAAAATGAAGACTTCTGCAATGATAGTTCTCTTTCATCAGCCTTTGGGAATTAATCTACTAGAATGTCAATCAGTCAATGGAAGTCAACCAGTGTGCATTACATGCTTGGGGCTATTTGTTAAAGGAGGGAGGTTTGTTTCTTTAAAGGCCTTTTGAAAAGCTGTCACAAATATTAGCATGGCCTGCTTGAACAGTGTGCATAGAATACTGTGTTTGCTTCATTTTAAAACAGATAATAGGAAAGGAAGGCTGGGAGAGAAAGTAAAAAAGAAGTAGAAGAATAGATTCGTAATTTAAGAAAGACATGATAGAGATTTAAAATTTCTTTTGGTTAGTGATACATCAGCAATATATTAGATCTAGTCTATTTCCATACAGCCTCTCATCAAATGCCTTTCCAAGCAATTTACAATAAATTTACGAAATACTTATATAAAAGGCATACAATACCAGTTTTTTTACTACAGAGTTGGTGGGGGAGAGGAAACATTATCCAACATCCATGCATGGAAGGCTTGGTTAAACAAGTAGTTCTTCAAAAGTTACTTACAGAATGCAATGCCAAATGCATCCTGGGGTTCATATGCACCCCCAGAAAGAAAGCTGCTCATGGGAAAATGCAAAATGGTTTTCTGCCAGAGTTGACACATCCAGCTAGACTTAGATGGTTGTAGAGATCGCCCATAACAGAAACGATAGTCTACCAATACTCCAAGTTGTTCATGTCTTCATATGCTTTAGGAGAGTGGTGAAAGCTAAAAGAATTTGCCACCGGGTCTGTGGGTGTGGCTTGGTGGTGGTGGGTCATGTGACTGGGTGGGTATGGCCAACTTTTTTCACTTTTTAAAGCATTCCCCCCCCTACCTATTCGCCCAAACTGGCAGGAAAAACAATGCTTTAAAAAGTGGGGGGGATGTTCCGATGATCGTGTGGCTCACAGCTGATCCGCACAGTCATTAGAACCTCTTTTTTTCACTTTTTAAAGCATTTTTTTACTACCTACTTGCTGGAACCAGTAATAAAAAATGTCACAGCACAGCTGATTGTCACGGAATCTTTTCCCCCCACTTTTTAAAGCATTTTATTATTAATGGTTCGGGCGAACCTTAGCATTTTTTGCTACTGGTTCTAGCAAACCAGTCAGAACCGGTAGCATTTCACCCCTGCTTTAGGAACTAATTAGCAGCGGTGCAAATTGCTTTCACATAGACAGCTAAGAGCTTTGCTCTGCTCTGCAATCTGGCCACTACATTCTGCACCAACTGCAGCTTTCAGATAAAGTTCTACATAGAATGCCTTAGAGTACATTTTACATTGTAAAATTTAACTTTTTCTCTCAGTCATCATGGGTAATTCCAATGTCACTTCCTTAAGTCAAAGCAAGGAAGGAACAGAGCTGATATTCTAGAAAGATGGGCTGGAGGCTGTTGGGATTAATCGTTCCCATTTCCGTCTGTCCAAACTTTATGAATTAAATATGGGTTTATTTGTTGCAGTGTCTTCATTCTGACTTAAGTTTATTGGCCACATGAAATACCATTCTAATCAAACTTTTGCCTGGAGTGGCATTAAAAAAAATACAAAAATTTTCCTTCCCAGTGCTCCCCCCTTTCTACTCCCCATTTTATATTGCTGAATTTCTATCATTGCCCTATTTGGATAGAGGATTCACTACAATGATTGTGAATGAAGTGACATTTTCCACAGACCAAAAACAGCTCAGCAACATTGTTTCATGGAAGAACATCAGGAAAACAATTATCTAAAGCATTGTAGGTGGAAATGGAGCTTTGGCATATAATATATGGATGTGAACTTACATGATGTTCCCTTGCTGTAGGTGGAGTCCTTTAATTGTAGACAGATACAAGTACGGGATCTAAAGCACCTTTCCAGCTTCATGTCTAAGTGATCTATATTTCAGGGACTTTCCATGTAGCAGTATTTTAGATCAAGATTTTGTTGCTCTTGTTCCTCTCTTCTTTTTCTCATGTGCCTTCTGCTACAGAACTGTAGGAAAAATGATCACCCACCTCTTAGTTTTTGCACAGCACTCTTGTTTACAATGTATATTTCTATGAGATATTTTGGACCATAATAATCCCAACTATTTCAAACTTTGATTGCCAACATGATTAAGATAATTGTGTGTTATGTCATATCATTAATTAGCATTAACAGGCATCTGGGAAGAGATGAGAGAATAATTAATGCTTTAATTACTTTTTTAGTTAAAGTTCAAATACAGCCAATGTGTAATTAAATTTTGAAGCATTATTTGCTGATTATGATTAATCTAAAAAAATTAATTACTGCTGTATCGAGGCAACAAGACATTGATCTTTCATATATTTTGCTGTAATACTGCTACATGGCAGGATCTCTAGTATTGTCTTTATCCCTGTTAAGAAAATCTTTATCATAGCATTACCGTATCTTTTGGATTTTTGCAACCTAGATCTTGTAGTTTCTTTATAATTTTGGATTTGATAAGCACTTGAAGTGCTGTGGTGTATAATAATACCTACTTAAATTTGTGGTGTTGATTTAAAAATCAGTGCCTCATGACAAACCTTTAAATAAACATTTTTGCTCTAATTCTTTAAATCATCTGGTTATTACATATTAAAAATAAGAAGAAGCAGGTGTTTTGTCTCCCTCTGGATTCCTTTCCTTGAAACTGCTGCTTTAGATAAATGAAAAATTCCAATATGTTAAAATATATCATCACAAAATAGAAATAATTAAATTGCAATTATAAGTCTTAAATATTTTATACATAAAGTGACAATTGGAATTACAGATGCAGGATTTAAAAATGTCTCTTAGTGTGTGTCTGGGCAACTTTGTGATGTGCCTAGAACTGGTTTCATCAAATAATTGTGGACAAGTTTCAAGTTTCATATCTTCTGTGTTAAGACCAACTGTATTTATACACATTTTGTCTCTCAGATATTATTAATGAGATTATCTTTGTTAAATGCAGGTTCTTGTTGCTCCAGTAACAGAACAAGGGCAATTCCAGAGGGACATTTACCTACCTAGAGAAGGACAGAAATGGATGGATACCAACACTGCCCAGATGTTTGATGGGGGAACCTTCCTCAGGAATTATTCAGTGCCTCTTGTGGATGTGGCTGTTTTTATTAAAATGTCCTAGACTCTAGAATTTCTTTGATTTCAGGGCACTTATCCATGCTGCAGAGAAGAACTGCCAACAGGACTTATTTGGCTAACTGGAAGTTTCTTGCAGCTACCAGCCAGAAATGCAATTTTCCAAAAAGTATGTGTGCGTGGTGTGTGTATGTGTATTCATTTGTATCATTTAAGTTTTAAAAGACAATAGAGAAACCTCTGTCTATTATTATTACTATTTTGAAACCCCAGTAACTGGTTTTCATGGTGTAAGAGACATTTTGTTAATTGGGGAGAGATTATGCATGTTCATTGTTATGCCAATCCTCATTACTTCCCACTATCCCTAAAGGTCAGGAAATGAACTTGATCTTTATTTTTAAAAAATAGGGTAGTAAAATAAGAGGAACCTAAAGCTTTCCACGGTACTGGAAATTGGTAAGCATAATTTCTAGGAGTCAAGCATTCTGAACTGTTTATAGTTTATTAGACTGCGTATAAGCAGGCAAAATGATTTTTCATTTTAACAATCCAGCCTTATTTTACAGGTTGTTTTTATATAAATTTTATTACAAGTTTTAGAGAGAAGATTAAAAAACTATCAAAAAACATTAAGATAATGGAAAAAAGGAAAAGAAAGAAAGGATAAAGGTGCAAAAAAAAGATATAGAAAGAAGCTTCCAGTTTTCTTCTGTAGCAAATATTATTACATAAATATCTCTTTATGGTTATAAAAAGCTTTCCTTTTTCTATTACCTAATATTTTCTAATTATCAAAAAGTTTGAGCAATGGTTAGATGTTTCATGCAGAAAGCCTATAAGGGCTTCCCTGTCACCAGCAAATGTAGATGTTCTCTTTTCTATGAGTAAAAAGGCAATTTAGCCACCTCTGCAAATTCCATCATCTTCAGCCGTTCCTCCATTGTGAGTAGTGCTGAACTTTTCCATTTTTGAGTGTGTACTACAGTTATCATATACAAAGTCCCCAAAGTAACTTTTTTTTTGAGCTGTTTAATCATTGTACCAAAAGAAAAGTGTTTGGTTTCAATTGACTATTTTACAGAATAGACAATATTTGCAAGATGGATAGGATGGAGCTATTGAATTACACTGGTTATAAAAAATGCTGAATTTTTCTTGTTTACCTGACCAACCTAGTTTAAAAATTAATTGAACCAAAATTATTTTAAGCTTTGTGAATGAAGATACTTAAACCATTATCTGTCTATTCCATCCATCCATTTTACATTTTATTTGTCTCATTTATGCCCACTGCAATTGATCAGAAAGAACGTTGGTCCTTACCTGAACGTTTCTTTTTGCAGCAAAGGTGGGAGGGGCTACAACAGGGTTAAGTCACAGCCTGATTGGTCCAGAGACTGAGGGAATTTTCTTAAAGTCACCATCCTTCCCTATTGGCTCCCAGTTTTCTCAAGGTCAAATGGAAGAACTGTAATCTTATGTAAGGCAATAACCGGAAACACATACTGACCATACATGCATCCTCCCCCCCCCCCCCCGACCGCCCCTCGCCGGGCTTATCTGAACTACCTAGGGCGGGATGTAGCCCCTCTCACCTTTGCTGCAGAAAAGAAACCTTCAGGTAAAGACCACCGTTTTTGTTCCTGCAGTTCGGCGGGAGGGGCTACAACAGGGACATACCCAAGCTAAGTCCCTGGGTGGGATGAAG